TATAGGGGTCTACCACCTCCTGCATCTACAGTTGAGACATGCCGCGTGTACATTATTTCCCCTCATCCTTCTCATACCTGGCGATCGCAGTCGCAGCACTTACAACGGGCGAAACACCACTGCAAGGCGCTCTCGGTACGTAATATCGTGATTGAGAAATGGTCCTCTTTCTGACTCACTGGGGTTAGTGTTGAATGATAACGCTATGTTGGACGCCATTCACAGTGACACGACGGGGAAGCCTGGTGACCCAAAGGGTGATCCCGACGAACCCGATATATGCTATACCGATGATGAAGGCTCTGGCAAGCCACAGACGGACAACTTTATGTGAGTCGCTACTCTTCATTCAGCTAGCAGTATCATTGAAATCGTATATTCAGGTGCCTAATGACTTCCAGGCCCGGTCAGAACTGTAACATTCGCGATTGTATGAATGGGGGAGGTCGTTGTCGTATGGTGAATACCAGATGTTGTGGGGTACGGATGAGAAACGCGCCCTCCAATCCTATTGAGTGCTATACTAACTGTAGATGTAAAAACTTTAAATAAGATGAACTCATGGATGTACTTAGTGTTCTAAGCTCAAATACGATCAATGAAGCAACCGTGTTTACAAAACTCGTAGGAAAGGGACCACGAGGCTAGAGCAAGTTGAATCTGGTGTCTGCACTATTTGTGGCGCTCAGCTGTCGTAAAACCCCTAGGGACCGACAGGCCAACTTGACGTTAACGCTGGCAAATCCCCGTTTAAAACCTCCCGCAAATGTGAAATGTGCACGTCGGAAAACCAAAGTTTCCGGTGATTGCTTATGCAAAAGGTTCCAAAAGTAAAAGGCTGGCCAACAGTAATAGCCTAACCGAATATGCCATGCAGTCCGACCTTCTCCACCCGTTGATCATATGAACAGTTTAACCTGGCACTGGTCTTGATAGACACTTGGCATGTGTGTATAACAAGAGACTGATTCCATCGGTTACAATGGTGTGTGCCACAGCATCCGGAACCGTTACAGGACCAGAACGAGGGTCCATTTCTCTGGGGGGATCCCCTATATAATCGGTTTTTTGCCCATTCTTACTCGTCCTCAACCCCAATCACCCTTCTTACACCCGAGACACTTGTAGGCATGCGAGTTTTCCTGTCTATTTACCCATTGGCTTGCCTCGCAGTCCTAGTTTCTGCACTCGTTCCAGTCCACGATTCAAACGCGCTCGGTTAGTCTTTCGCTCCTCGAGATCTCTCTTTTCATTGACGAGTTGGAATAGTGGTGAATGAGAATAACTTGGTGGCCCCTGACTCTGTCATTGAAGTACTCGATACCGTCCAACTTGGTGGCGGTGGTGATGATGACCCGGAGGAGGAATGCGACGTCGGCGACGATGATGTCGAAGGGAAGTTTGCTCGTAATGACCCCCAGTAAGCACCTCTACTCCTTCTCCTGATCCAGGGATTAGCGTCGCTTATGCAGAGCTGCAGGTGCGGAATGGTTTCAAGGGCAGCGGGTCTATTCTGTCAGTCCAATCTTTGTCTGGGCACCCCCAATGACAATACTGGTGGATATTGCCGCTTCAACGCTGCATCAGGTCGCTGCTGTATGAGAAGGATGAGGGGAAATAATGTACACGCGGCATGTCTCAACTGTAGATGCAGGAGGTGGTAGACCCCTATA